TAGGTTAGAGAACCATTGGAAAACCAGCACTCGAGTGCTGGACAGCTGTTGCGTCAGCCTAGTTTGGGACTCTTCATCAGTACGCACCCACCCACCTTCTGATCACAAGGCGAGCTACCTCATAGACCATTTAGCCACTAGGACCCGATCCAATGGCCCATGAATTCGCCATGATCAACAAGGTACAGCAAGTTGAAGGTGAGGCAGTAACTCATCGAAGAAGACATTGCGAAGTGGTCGCGCTGTCATAAATTGGCAGAAGTTAGAATTCTTGGGCTGGCCATTGGATGGTCTACGAGCTAGCTTACCTTGTTGCCGGAAGGTCCTGGATTCGACCACCGATGGGGCGGGTGGGTGCTATGAAGAGCCCCAACCTAGGACGAAACAGCCTACTGTCCAGTACTCTAGTGCTGGCTTTCTAATGGTTTCCTAACTGATGTCAGTTCATGGTGAAATCCTCCAACCAATCAAACAAACGAAATCCCTACAAAACCAATACTTGAAAATTACTCAGTAGACAAGTGTCTGAAGTATATCAATGAAACTATGCCACTCTTGAGTGTTTTATTGAGGAATGTTCACTTTTTGTATAAGAATCCTTAGTAAAGCAGTAATCAACGTTATGTCATTTGAATTGAAGCAGGCTTTCATGTCACTCCAACGACCCCTCCCGCCACCACCACCACCACCACTACCACCCAGCAATGGATTTCTTCTTTACTTTCGAAAAATATTTTGTAATAAGCTAAAGGCTACTTAAAAGAGTATATAAGTAGTATATAGGTAAACTAAGCAATTTAAAACAGAGGTTAAATCTTTTGTTTAAGCAATCATTTTATGCTTGCATATCTGACCTCGACTCTGCGTCTAGACCCCTTTTGTTAATAAGGTGAGTAATATTGAGCGTGAGGTTTTGGTCGAGTGCTAGGTAAGGAGGGGGAATCAATCGATGAGGTTGTGAAGCTACACCGATTGAGATGGTTAGACATGCGTAACACACATCCTAACCCGTCGCCTTCCTCAACAATGAGAAATCTTAGCTGACTGACATATATCCTATGTCAGTCAGGTTATGAAAGAGTTGGTTAGTGTTGGTCAAACCAAAACATGGTTTCATCAGTCGATGGAATCCACAACAGTTAGTTGGGATCCTCGAGATGGTAAAAGCTGGTGATAGCTGGAGACAATTGGTGATATGGCTCAAAATCTTCATTGTCAATGGCTGGCGTAGATATTCATTCACTCTTTGTGCTGTGTCGTATCCAATAAAACTTCATTGTTCTTTCATATGACTATTCTTTTTGCTTCATATTTCTGTTCATTATCCGTCTTTTGAATCTTTCTTTACTCTCTTCTCTTGCTTTGCGTGGTACATGGAGGGAGAGTGGCAACTAGGTGGAACTGCTGCACATTTGTGCAAAGTTCTACATTGAAACCAGTCAGTCAGTAAACAAGCTTGCTGCGAGACAACCAGGTAGCTGGACTAATAACTGGTTGCATTCTTACTATTCTGATAGGAAGTAGTACATTGTATATAATAGGAGGTCTTTGAATGCTTTACTTACTCTAGCCAGTGTTCCTCAAGGTTCTGTCATCTCTTCTCTTCTATTTGCCTTATATCTGATGAAGCGTGAATGATAAACGTGAATCGGCAGAAGTTAGAATTCATACCATTGGACCGGGTCCCAGTGGTTTAATGGTGTACCAGCTAGGTCGCCTTGTAACCAGAAGGTGCTGGGTTCGAACACCGGTGGGTATATACTGTAGAAGAATCCCAAACTGGGACGAAACAACTGCCCAGCACTCCAGCACTGATTTTCTAGTGGTCCTCTCTAACCAATCAATCAAATACCTACAAACCAATACTTGAAACTAATTTAGTTAAGTGTGCCGATATTTAACTGTTTCCATGACGATCACATTTCGATGGGATTATTCCAAAATCAACCGTTCTTTTTAAAAAAAATTAGAAATTAGTGTGTAGTTCTGTTCAAATGGTCTTAAGCTAAACTTCTCCAAATTTCAGGTTGTTAATTTCACTTTCAAAAACAAGCGCTATTTTACCTGAACTAGCTTGTTTCTATGATTCTTGTATCATAAAAGACGAATGTTAAAATACTTTGGATTATGTCTTTTCTCTGATCTTTTTTTATGGCCTTTTTCGAAATTGTGTTAATTTCTAGGAAGATGTTTCGTTAAGATAATCTAGTATCAGTCAGTCTCTACTTGCACAGTTTATTGATTTTTGTATTCTGCCTATATTCTTCTTTATTATTCCCCCCCTTATTCTTTCCTGGACTACTTAGAAATGACTGTTACACTGAGAAGGGTAATAAAACAAGCTATCGGTAGGGTAAAGCCAATTCATCAATACTGCAGTAGACATTTAAACCCATATAAGAAATTGGCGAATATTATCTTGTTGGACTCTGAGCATCCTCCCTGTGCACACCTCTCTCCTTGCATCTTCATTAGGTAGGAATGGAAACAGTTATAAAGGACCTTCTACTCGGATGACTAAGTATAAAAACTTGACGATATCTTATTAATATACGTGTAAAACTTTGGGACTGTGGTAGTATGTAATTCCATATTAGTTTGTTTATTAGATGGATATATCACACAGTCAGTGAAACGGTGTTATTATTACTTTCCTGGGTGACGAAGTTTCGAACAAAATTTATTTATTGTTCATAATCATATCGCCAATTATAACCATACAACTTTGAAACTTGAGTTTTATAGTTTTCTTTATTCTTTCCTATTCGTCGGTATAGAGGTAGTAGGAGTGTCCAGATATCTGGGTGGACAGGTATTGAGTCATAACTATTCCTAATGGGAAGTTAAAACACATGAGTGTTTACAGGAAATCCACACATTCAAACAGATATTTGGATTTAGGATCGTCCTACCCCATGTCAGTAAAAATTGGTTTGGTGAAGTGTTTAAGTGACAATAGGGCACAAAAACTAAATAGTACCAAGGGAAATCTCAGACATGAAGTGAGGCAAATAAGAGAAGCTTTGAAACTTAATAACTGCCCTGATAAATTAGTCAGAAAGTATGTAGGGAAATGTAAAAATAAAATAAATAATGATAGTAGTGATAGTGATAATAATAACAATAATATTAATGACGGCATGCATGTCAAACTTGCACAGAATAATGACAACACCAAAAATAGGGAATTTAAATCACCATCAGTAGTACTTCCATACAAAGAAGGAACCTCGGAAACCACCTTACGGAGAATTCTTAACAATACAGGCAGGAATAAAAGTGGTTGGTATTCAAACTGCCCACAAACTCAATTAGAAACGAGCTTTGTCGGTTAAATGGTGGATCCTGTGGAGCCAATTAAGTAAAACAATTTAGTTTATCTAATACTCAAATATCATAAAAACCTACCAACAAAATCTAGATTAGTTGACCGCGATAAGATAAGAAATCTGGAGAACAATTAGTTCAGCTATAGCACTCACTACATGCAATTACACACAACCAACCATACAATAGGATGATGGGATAAGATGATAGTTTTAAAATCTAATCTAATGTAACAGGGTGGAGGAAGAGATTGATAACGGAAGCTTTATTTATCGAATCAACTAAAGAGAGTACGTGTAATAGGAATGATTCAACACCTGTCCACCCAGACATCTGGAAAATTCTACTATCCCTACGACGAAGAATAGGTGGGAACAAAGAAAACTATAAAACTCAGGTTTCGAAGTCGTGTGATTATAATTGATATGATTATGAACAATGAATAAATTGTCTTCTAAACTCTGTCATCCAGTAATTGATAATACTGTTTCACTAACTGTGTGATGTATCCATCTAATAAACAAATTAATATGGAATTAAGGATACCTTATTTGTCATACACTCACTTTTTGTGATGAGAAATGTGTAAACAGCCCTTGTTATCCTTTCATTCATTAATATACTGTTGTTAATAATGTTTCTACTCAAGTTTTAATTTCATATTCATATTCTTCTTACGAGTTGATCACAGATTGTTATCAATTAGAGAACCATTGAAAACCAGTACTGGAGCACTGCGAGACAGCTGTTTCATTTGCCTAGTTTGGGATTCATCGGCAGTACGCACCCACTGCCAGGGTTCGAACCCAGGACCTTCCTGTCACAAGGCAAGCTAGCTCCTATACCATTCAGCCACTGGGACCCGATTCAATGGCCAGCTCATGAATTCTGTCCACTACTCCTCTGCCGGTTTTCAATGCTTCTCTAACTGATATCAATCCGTGATCAACTCGTAAGCACAAATCTAATCCGCACAAACCAACTATTGAAAATTCATATTCTTATTGAACAATATTATCCGTTTAAATGGCACAGCGGTAGAGTGCTCCCCAATCACGCCTAACGTGGTCCGGGGTTCGATCCCCGGCCACTGGACGACGCACTCCTTTACCTCGCTCGACTGGTAAAGAGGAACCTCATCCTGTAAAAATAATCACCACTGCTACAGAAACTTCAAGCCTCTAGCTTGAAGCTCTATGTTCCTTCCACTGGGAGTGTAAAGGAATTAAAAACAGATGCCCTCTTGATTATATCTCCCTGTATCGCGGAATATAAAGAGAAAATTAGACGCAGCATTGAATTTTTTTCCTTCACGTTCCCAGTGGAACATAGGGCTTCAAGCTAAAGGCTTGGAGTTTCTGTAGCAGTGTTTATTTTTACAGGATGGGGTTGCTAGCCTCATGCCAAACCTTTCCTCTTTACCAGTTTTTATTTCTGGCTTAGCGAGGTCAAGGAGTGCGTCCAGTGGCCGGGGATAGAACCCCCGGACCATGTGCATGGTCGGCCAGCGTCCTAACCACTGTACCACCGACGCAGCATTGAATTACTTGCTAAAAATTCCACATAATATCAAAAGTTCCTTCAGGAATTAAGCTATTATTGTTATTATCATTATAATTATTATTACGATTATTCTGTCAATGTAATCATATTGTGTCATCTTCACTTTTCAGATGAATGACTGAATCCGATTTCTTCACATCCCCCCTACATTATTAAAGACGCTAATAATAACAATACTGTGGTTATCAAATTAACTGTTCAAAAAACACCACGTGACACTTTTAACTTTGTTCAGAGTAGTCGTCTTTTAAACAAAACAAAAAAAAGCCAAAAAAATACAATCTCAACTCTGATTGGTTAACTTATATTAACCAATGGATGAAACAACCAATCAGAAAGTAGAATCATTTACAAACAGACCACTTGCTTCGTTAGTGAACAGTCGGTCACAAGACGAAGTGAATAAAGCAGCATATAAGAGTACGGTGAATGAATCATACGCTAACAACAAACATCACAATACTGCTATAATAACAATAGTAATGATCGTGGTTTCTTCGGTGGATCATTAGACAGTCGTCAACAGCATCACCAACATCATCACCATCATACTAATATTGCTACTAATCTATCCTCCTCTTCATCATCCTCGTCTAGTGTAAAGGATTTAAAATATAATAATAATAATTCTGGCAAATCAACTGTAACTACAAATATCATTAGTAGTAGTAGTAATAGTAATAATAATAGTAGTAGTACTCAAAAGCATGGTTTAATTAAAAAACTTTTACATCGTGGAAATTCAAGTAATAACAATACTTCTGGTGGTCATAGTAGCAGTAGCCATAATAATAATAATAATACTAGTGGAAGTGTTGAAAAATTGAAAATTTTGGAATTTCGATCACATCGTCGTCCACAGACAGGCGAAAATTCACCAACTTCACCAAAAGTTATGGGGAATGTTCATCAGGTGAGCGAGAAATTGTGTTTTGTTTACCTTATTGTTATTATTATTATTAGTTGGATTACTTGATTTTTTTATCGATTGCAAGGCATTTTTCTTCATTTCTGTAATTCAACATTGTTGTTTAGCCAGGCGTTTGTGTTTTACATAAATACGTGATCTTCTCATAAATAGATAGAGCAGAATTAAGTTTATGCAGTTTATGCTTTTAACGCGAGAAATAATAGTGATGTATCCGATGCTTCTGCTTTGGATTCATGGGGGGGGGCTTGAGCGAACCAATCAGGGAATACAGGGGATTTCGCATTAAAAAATGCCCTTTATTTGCAAGAGGAATATATATGACATAACTTAAAAATACCTCCAAATCGTAATGAGGAGTATCAGTTTTTAAGTTAGACCAGGTTCTGCGCATGTGTTCACCTAGGTGACTGAAGATGAGTTCTTATTGGGACCCATGTATCTCTCTTATCCTGTTTTGCAGTCTTTCCCAAAAGACCTTGACTGAAGTAGTATGGGTTCCACCAACCCCAAACCTAGTCGTAATTGTAACACTAACCTTAATCCTAACCCTAATCATAACCCTATTCGTGACTGGTAATCCTAACAAGCTATTAACACATTGCCCAAATAGTACTTAAAAACAAGATGGGGGGGCAATGAAATTTACACGTCAATTCGTGCACAGCGTTCATAGTGACACTGTAGTAATAGTAGGTCGCGTTATCTAATGAATAGTATGTGGTCAAGGTCATTTGAGAGTTCACACTCCTGGGCCGTTATACTTTAACTTGGCCTAAAGTGGTTTTAAAAGCAGTAATATCACTGCACTAAGTAGCACAAAAAAAAGACCTAAATGATGAAATAAAACAGATAGAAGAGGCGTTGGTATCAAATAACTATCCTATAAAATTCATTAGGAAGATCAGGAAAGGTCAAAAGCAAAATAAAAATAATTGTGAAACTAGTAATGATAACATAAATAAGAGAGAATATAAGTTATCTACTGTTATACCATATAAGGAGGAGACATCTGAGACCCCTATGTAGGATTCTCAATAAAGCAGGAATTAGGGTGGTGACATTCAAACCTACAAACTCACTCAAGCAGGACAAGCTCTGTAGGCTAAAAGACCCGGTGGACCCAATTAGACAAAATAATATAATTTACAAAATAAGATTATAGGTTTCGGCCGTAGGTGTTACGAACTTCCTGAAATAATTTGAGCGCCGAGTCAATTGATTCTTAACAGCTGGATTATTAAATTATAATACAATACCTTGCAATGACTGTGAGTTAGGTGAACTATATAGGTCAAACTAGTAGATCGGGGGTAATCAGATTGTCGGAACATAAGAATTTAGCTAAGGTAAGAATGGTTGACACCGAAAAGATAAGTAATTTAGGAAAAAGCTCAGCAATTGCACTGCATGCATTAACACACAACCACACAATAGGGTGGTGGGAGAGGGTTAAGATTCTAAGAAGTAATATAGGTAGGTGGAGAGCGAGAGAGATTGATTACTGAATCCTGTCTGGTTCATCGAGTCTACACCCAACACAAAACATGCATCAGAAATGACTCAATGCAAATACTAGAGATATGGAAGATATTATTACCACCAGTCAGTCAAATCAGAGAAGGATAATAAATAATCTCAAAATTCTATTTCAATTCACATACATCATAACATTCTAACAAGTTACTTATTTTGACTATAAAAACACTCGTCTTATTTCCCATCTGATTGTAATTGATCAATAACACTCATATTATTACTTCTGAATGTACATTATCACATATTGATTTTTATTCAAATGTCTAATCATCAATTTCACTCATGTATATAAATGAAGCAAGAAAGTTGTGTGAGTGACTTGATATGATTATGAACGGCAATAGTTTGTGCTCGAAACGTCATCAGTGACTTATCAAAAAAAATCTTTTGTATAATGGAGTTATACTCTACCACCACAATGCCCAAGTTTTATACTTATATCACTGGAATGGTTTTGTAACTCTTAATAATCAGTGGTTATGGAAAATTCCATCACTATGGAAACTTTTCTACACCAACTTGGTGTACATGAGAATGACCTGAGAGGTATTTTGGGCCATCTATTTATTATTTTTATTATTATTATTATTATCATTATTATTGTTTTAGAGGTGGCTAACGATTTGATCACTAAAACGCATAGATATCCACTGCGATTTCGATTAAAAGTCATTGAAGTGTCAATATTATAAATATTATGGGAGAAAAGCGCTAACCCCTTACCATTGTGCTCCTTAACGATCTTAGTGGATGTTATATGTTCTGTCTGACTGTACACTCCAACGTTAACGAATAGTGATCATAATTGATCGATTACATCTGACACTAGTTGCATAACGGACTGGTAGGTTAATTTCTATCCCATTGTGCAAGAGGAAGTCGAAATATTTAATTCACTACTTACACTATCTAAAATTCTTATCCTTAGATGATTCACAGAAATAATCGAAGCCATTTTTTAAAATCTTTCCTATATCATTAGGTTTTCGAATGTTTCTTTTTACAATTTATCTGTGTTGCACTCGAAGCACTCATGTCAAATGTTACTTCATAATTTACGCTCTCATTTGTTTTTCTAAAATTATTTATTCGATATTAAACAATCGATATTCCTTGTCATCTATGTGTTTGTATGCTTGTTTGTTTGTGTGTGTGTGTGTGGAATTCACCACAGTGTACCGCCTCTCAAAAGGACGATGTGTATTTTAATATGCGATGTTACACACTCAACTAAAACGATATTCGAGTAGTGCTCACCAGTGAAAATGATGAGCATTTAATGCTCACTTGAACACTATTCGTTGTGTCAAGCAGGTCATTTTACGATTAAAAAAATATTTTGAGTTTTCAAATGCTAACTTTGATCAGTTTGTCTGTCTGTCTGTTTTCGACATAGAACTTTGCACATATGTGCGGCAGTTCAAGTCACCACACTCCCTCCATGTAGCACACAAAGCAAGAGAAGAAAGTAGGAGAAATGCATATTAGAGACAGTAAACAGAGGTGTGAGACAAAGGAATAGTAATAACGAAGAACAAAAGTTTCATTGGAAATCATAAGTCACAAGGAGTGGATGCATCTGCACCATTGAGAACGATTTTGAGCCATATCACCAATTGATGTTTTTACCGTCCCGAGGACCCCAACCAGTGGAAGTCTACACCTTCCTACGTGGCTTAGACTAACTGTTGTAGATTTCATTGACTGATGAAGCCATGTTTTGGTTTGACCGCCGCTAGCTCTTTTCCAGCCTGACCCTATATCAGTTTACTTTATAAATAGCAATAATAATAATAATACTTCATACTAGACAGTTTTTATATAATCTACAGATCTGGCATCTTCAAGTAAAATAGTAATTGATAGTGACATGATTGTGTGACACAATTCTGTCTAACCTAAAGCGCAAACCAATCCCTTATGATATTTCTTCTTTGTGTCTTTCGAGAAATGCACGACATTTGGTTGAAATCAATTAAATTTTTCTTTTAAATTGCAAGGGTACATTTTGAGATCCAAGGATATATATAGCTGAATAATTAAAGACTGTAGGGAGTTAGTTTTATTCCTTGGGCAGTGAGTGACAGTCTGTACTGAAAATCTCATGTATATTGGTGGGATATGTTGCTGTCCATCATGATACTTTTTCTTAAATTCATTAAAAACTTGCAAAACACCAGGTTATAAACGTTTTTAAGTACTTGCGGGGGGTAAATAATGACATTAACACTATGTGAACATGAGAAACCTGAGGCAATATGATGATGGAGGTATTTGTTAGCTCAAGTTTTAATCAGGCTGTCGTAATTACATATTGTAGGGATTTTGTTTTGTTTTTGATTCGTTGAAGGATTCGTCATCATGAGCTGACATCGGTTGGTTAGAGAACCCTTGGAAAACCTGGGATCTGATACTCACTAGCGACTGGTTCTAGTGGCAAGCCGTGACCAGTAGGGTACAGTAAGTCGAAGGTGAGGACAGTTACTCACTCTATGTCGTGCGTGAATTGGTAGAAGTTAAAATTCATGCACTGACTGGCCATTGGATCGGGTCCCAGTGACTGGCTGAATGGTCTACGAGCTAGCTCGCCTTGTAACCACAAGGTCGTGGGTTCTAACCCTGGTGGTGGTGGTGCAGTGGGTGCGTACTGATGAAGAGTCACACACTAGGCTGACGAAACAACTGTCCAGTACTGCCTGTTGGTTTTCTAGTGGTTCTCTAACTGATGTCAGCTCATGATGAAATCCTCCAACAAAGAAAATATTATGTTGCTTGCCTGCTTCAAATTAACTCTGTCTAGCTCAGAACATAAATACTTTATGGATGTTAGTGAAATATTTAAAAAAAATAAATAATTATATATTCCAGAAATCCTATACTTTGAAGTAAATGAAGAAAGTGTGAAAGCATTCGTTAATTTCTTATTTTTGAAATCAGTATTCACAGACTATTCTTATGAATAATTCGTTTTTGTTTTATATGATGTGTATTGATTTGTCATTATTGATTTCCCTGATAACATCATTTATTCTAAAAATAAATACAGTATGACTATAATTAGTATACTCGTGACAACATTTAAGTTATTCATCGCATAGGTAGGTAAGTATATCTAATCAAAGTGAAAAGTCATCATGATTTCGTTTAGAAATCCAAATTTAGCCAATATCAATTCGTTTCAATTACTTTTGATTCTCTCGATTCATTGGGCCGAAGTGCTTGGCCTCAGGTTCGAGCCTCGGATGGTGGGAACATCATCACTGACTCACTGTAGAATGCAGGTACATCCAGTGGCTGACGAGCTAGTCCCAAATAGGACGAAATGAGCTTTATCCTGGTGGATTCCACTACTGCTAGTCACCATCATCCACCAATTAAATTCACTTTGAAATGTGTCTAGCACGTGTGGTTTCTGACTACTTTTAACAATCAGTAGTATGTGCACA